ATTAAGTAAGGACTTGTGTCGCTAAAGTTTACGTCGGAACAAAGTTACGGAAAATTAATTAACAAACGGAGACGTAACAATATTTTATTTGAGAAATATTTTCGTAAGAGTGAAGGCGTGTGTGTGTGTGTGTATGTGTTTATCTACCTGGAAAATAAAATTGCATTAAAGGTTATCCATTCATTTCTTTTAGTCTTCTCCGTATTATAATATTTTTGAAAAATTGGTATTAAAGTATATTGATATCCAACAAGTAGCCAAAACTTTTCACAATATGGTAGGTCTCAGAAATTCTATACAAACAATAAATCAAACACCAACAGCAAAATAAAAATAAACAAATACCTGTGAATAAATAAAATTAATAGTGGTAGAGTGTGCTGTATTTATTACCAAATGGTCGTCTTCTAAAAGTAAAAGTCTGTTGACTATACAGGCTGCAGATGTGAAGAAGAATGATTATTCCGGAAAAGGACAGCAGAAAATTGCACCACACTTTCAAACTGATAGTTTAAGTGCAACATTTCATAATCCATAGATCATCAATATTTCCAACTCTTCCAAAATACATTATACGGAAAAAATCCCTAATGCATACCAATTTGTAATAGTATTTATTTCATCCCTTTTGACGGGCTTGCCTAGTGGCGGCGCTAGGCATAAAAAGACTAAGCAATTGGTTAGGGTCTTATGTAGTTCAAATGACTGCGATTCACGGGATTTCATATGGTTTAATTCATTTTATTATGATGAGGGTCATTTTTATTGCATTTCCCTCAAAGTGGCACATGTGATTTTGATGACCGATTGTCATTTTTAATTCGATGGTATAATAATAGTAATGATGTTTTTAAAATACATGCAATGGTTAAAAGGGATAATTGTTTATTTAGGAGTTCTCCACTTTTGGGTAGTTGTTGAGTCCTTTTGACTTCCTGAATGCGAAAACATAAAACGATTATCAGAAAATGAAGACATAAAAAGTAATTTTTTAGTACTCTGCATTTGTTCAAACTTCGGGTGTTTTGCCGTTACTAGTAGTGTTTTGTGGGTGAATTAAATCACCTGACGGCGAACAAGTAAATTATATACACCTGGAAAAAAGTTAAGCACCCCCGTGTTTTTTTCAGGATTGCTTATT